CCCTCCCTCTCTCTCCCCTCTCTCCTCTCTCTCCTCTCTCCTCTCTCCTCTCTCCTCTCCCCCTCTCCCCTTCTCCCCTTCTCCCCCACATCCCCTCCATCCCTGAGTGTGTGTGTCAGTAGATGATGATTATAGTGATATACATGCAGATACTACAACACATAACAGATATTAGATTCAAAAGAAAAGAATCATAATTGAATTAGTATAATGATTTAGAATAATTTAAATTAAATTGAACGAAAATAGAAACAATATATTCATTCCCAAAATACTTATATACGAGTCACGTTAAGAGGAAATCGATTTCAAATGTAAATTAAAATTGACTTTAATAAGAAGAGGAAGAAAATCAGTGATACACATTTTGAATTTTCTTTACATTTTCTTCTTATCTGATTACAGATTTATGCATGTAAGTGCTATATTCTTTTATATAAGAATGATCTTTCTGAATATATTAGAAACTAAGTCAAGGTCATAGAAAGATACTGTAGAAGATATGAAAATGTTCTGAAGTCTAAAAACCTATAAAAGAAGAAAAAAGAAGAAGAATATGTTCTACTTTATTTAAAGAAAATTGAATTAGTAAGAATTAAATGTAAGTTAGATTAGCTTGATTATTATTTAGTAGATCACCTTGTTCTTATTAAATGGACCATAACATATATCTCTCCACAATTATTTCATAGAACTAAAATAAGAAGCCAGTGCTGAGGTTTATTTAACCTTGTTCATTATTAACAAAATTTTATGTATTATGGGTAATGTAGGTGCTTATAAACTGCAAGTTTCAGATAATTTCGAATATTACTGAGACCAGGTTGAGTTTAATGAAGGCCCAGATTTATTTCCCTCCTAAAGGTATGTATTGGATGAAAAGCTAGAGTAAAAAAAATGGCATAGGTAAAGCTATGGTAGTTCTTTACTCTGTAGATGCACATGCAAGAGACTTAAGTTCCCAACTCCATGTCACAAAATTTATTCATCACTCTCAGTTGTAGTGACTGAGGTGCCCTTAAGGCACTGCCCAAGAGGAGGGCTGATGGAGGGCTCTACCCACGAGCAACCCCAAGATATATTGTCTTTACCTCAGTATGCACGGCAAGATAGAGCTGAAACTCGGGAGCACTAAGTGTACTTAGGCTGATAGCGGAGCGTTTTCCTTTATTTGTGACGTTAGTGTTTGTGTCTTCAAGTTATTTCTTGTAGCAAGTTCCTGCAACTTTTTGTCCTTTACAAGAATGTCATAGTCAATTTTCCCTAACTTTTTGTGTCCATACCATAAAGATTAACCAAAGCTTTAACCAGCCACAAACTTTTTTCCTCTGTTTTGCCATGATATAGGTAGTGTTGGTTGGGACATGGACCAAACTTGAGATTAATATGTAAGTTGTGAATAACAATTTTATTTGTATTATTTTTTTAATAGCTGTTTTATTTTATTGGGTTAATCTTTATGGTATGGACACCCTAATCTAGGGCATATTGAAGATAATATTCTTGTAGAGGACAAAAAGTTGCAGTTGTCAAAAAATAATCTGTAGACACGGAATGTTAATGCCAGAAATACAGGGAAAAGATTGTGGAAATTGCTGCCCATAGCCTAAGTCCACTCAGCGCTTCTGAATTTCAGTTCTCTCTTCCTATGTAAACTGAGGTGAAGGCAATATTTCCCCAGGTGGGTTCTGGGGCAGGGCCCCCACCAACTCTACCCTTGAGCAATGCCCAAAGAACACAACCAGTCACGTAGATTCTTGAATAGATTTTGTGACATGTAGTTGGGGACTTAGCCGGTTTGTTAAAATTGTGCCAGGCCCGACCCAATGAATTTTCATAAATAAAGATGCAGAAATAAAGGCATATCTGTCTATATATCTGATAGATATACATTAAACCATCTAAATGTCAGGTTGATATGCATGTCTAGACTGATAAATATGCATTTATTTCTTTATTTATGGATGTCGAGTATACAAATATTCTTTAGGTCGGGACTTGCACAATTGTAACAAACCGGCCGTTAGTCTCTGGCGAGTGCATTCATGCTGTAAAGTATGAATGCCAAAGAAAAACTAAATTGGTAGATGATATCTTTGTTTGGTGGCAAGGGTTGATAGGGGTACAGCATTTGACTATGGATTGACCAATTCTCAGTCTATTTAATGTATATTTTACCATGCAATTTTCATTACCATTTATGCCAACCCTGCTATCAGTGCCACTTTCTTTGTGATCGGTCACGCAAAAGTATTCTGTATATTGCCCTTATACTTCGGTGTTTTATGTTTTATTATTTTCACTCATAGCCTATTTTGATTCTTTTCTTCTTGTCTTATTTTTGTTCATATTTCTTAATTTGTTTCATTTTTGTTATCATCACTGTTATTGTTATAGTGTCATTGTCATTTTCACTTATGTTTTTTTTAATGTTTTTGTGTGAATTTAATTTTGATAATTTAAAGAATTATAATACGTTGATGAAGAACTGTTTGATGTCCATTTATCCCTTGCAGTGTATTCTGCAGCGCTATGACACTGTGCTCATCTTGGATGAAGTAATACATTCATTCTGGTTGAGGTGATGATGACTATTTTAAGAATATGGTATTTTCCTGAGAGAAAATTGATTGATAAAAATCAAATTTTACTAAAAAGTCATGATTTTTTCATATATATTTTATTTTTTATGTAAAAAAAAATAAGAACATAAAACTGTAGCTATACTTACAATAGCTTAAGGCACCTAAGAGGTTTTCTTGTTTTCAAGAGTTTTAGGCTCAAGGTCAGGAAGACCAACTAATGCATAAATTCAATGCCAAGAAGCAGAAAGATTTATTTTAGATATATTAAGAGGATTGATGTTCCACAAAGAGACAAAAACAGAGACAGAGGTAGAGATACAGAAAGACAGAGGTAGATAGATACAGATAGATGTGAATTTCTATCCCTAAATACATAATTTGATAAAGTATGTATGTTCATTATTGGTTGTGGTGTCCTCTTTTCAGAATGCAACATTCCGGGCAGCTAATGTTAGGGAAAAAATGGGTTTCCCAAAGGAATGGATTGCTGCTGTGGAATGCTGGTAAAACTCTCAGGGTTAGTGCTTTTTTGTGCTGTTTTTAAATAACTTTGTTTTTATTATTATATTTAATGATGAAACTGATGTGTGTGTGTGTGTGTGTGTGTGTGTGTGNGGTTAGAGGAGGGAAGAAAGGCCGCTTTTTGAATAAAGGAAGGATGAAGAGAAGGGCGAGATTAACGGGAAGGTATATAGAAAGGGAAAAGAAAGAGGGGTTAGGACCGCGATATTTAATGCAGCTGGAAGGAGGAAAGAGAAGGGATAAAAGAGAAAGGAAAAGGAAGCAAGAGGGGGAGATGGATAATGGTACAGGAGACGAGAGGGAGAAAGGCTGGACGAATAAGTACAGAGTAAGGTGGATATGATGAGGGAAGGGAAGAGAGAGGATAGGGTTTTAGAAGGCGGCAAGAAATGGGAGGAAAGGTAACTGAAAGGATTTCAATAGAGGGAAAGGAGGAGGTTATTTATAAAGGAAAGTGAAAGGGATGGAAGGAAGTAAGGGAAAGAAAAAAAGAAATGAAAGTAAGAACAAGGGACGGATTAAAATGGGAAGGAAAGGAAAGAGAGGGACGAGAAGGAAAAAATGAAGGATAGTAAGAGGGAAAAAAGGCGATAAAGTAGAGAGGAAAAAGAGGTAAAGAAAGAAAGAGATAGGAAAGAGATGAAGGAAGAGAAAGGGAAAGATCAAAGGAACAAGAGAAAGGAAAGAGATTAAAAGAGAGACAGGAGAATGAAAATAAAGGAAGAAAAAGAAAATCGAAAGAAAACTCGAGAAATAGTAAGGAGAGACCTAGGAGGGAGAAGAAAGTAAGAGAAAAAAATAAAAGAAGAGAAGAGATAAAAGAAGAGAGAATGACACGACACATTCGGGAGTGAGAAAGAAAGTACAAGAAACATAAGCTATTGGAAAGAGAAAGAGAAAGAGAAGAAAGGAAAAGAAATAATAAAGGAGAGAAAAATAAGAAGAAAGCTTAGGAGAGGAAATTTAATCTGACTGATTTAATATCACGTCTTGGCCCCTTGTTTTTCTTCTCCTTTCCTGTCTCGTTTCTTCTCCTTTCTCGTCTCGCTTCTCCTCCTTTCTCTTCTGCGCTTGATGTATTCAGTGAAATAATAACTAAGAAATTCTTCATTTCTGTCGTTTTATTCTCCCTGTATCATTTCTTTCTTCATTTCTGTCGCTTTATTCTCCCTGTAATTCTCTCATTCTCATGTATCATTTCTTTATTTCTGTCGCTTTATTCAACTGTATCATTTCTTTCTTCATTTCTTTCGCTTTATTCTCCCTTTATCATTTCATTCCTCATATCTTTCGTTTTATTCTGTATCATTTCATCCACTATATCAGAATCGTATATATGGTAATGAAAACCAAATCAAATGTGATCCATTTTTCTATAATATCACCCCTAATTTTATATTATCATTAGATCTCGTTTTATTCAGTGTGGCTCTTATATAGCTTATAATAATAATAATAATAATAATAATAATAATAAATAATATAATAATAATAATAATAATAATAATAATAATATAATATAATAATAATAATAATAATAATAATAATAATATAATATAATAATAATAATAATGATAATAATAATAATAATAATAAATAATATAATAATAATAATCTACAATCATATTTTCTATTACTTATGTCCTTCCTCTAAACTCTAAATCTTTCCATCACCATCTTTTATCTTTTTATTTTTCTTATTATCCCTTCCATTCGATGCAAATGCCTCCTGGGACAAGAACTTTGAGTACAGTGAAGATGGAAGGGGGGAGGGGGAGTGGAGGGGGCGGGGGGGGGGGGGGGAGAATAGGAGCGGCTGCAGAGGATATTATTGCATTCCAGTTGCAGGCTGGAGCGGTTGCAAGTTACGTTTGTGTACCGCAGAAAAGAGAGAGAGAGAGGGGGGGGGGGGGCGGAGGGAGAAAGAGAGAGAGAGAGAGGGGGGGCGGAGGGAGAAAGAGAGAGAGAGAGAGTTACAGAGAGAGAGAAAGAAAGAAAGAAGAGAGAGAGAGAGAGAGAGAGAGAGAGAGAGAGAGAGAGAGAGAGAGAGAGAGAGAGAGAGAGAGAGAGAGAGAGAGAGAGAGAGAGAGAGAGAGAGAGAGAGAGAGAGAGAGAGAGAGAGAGAGAGAGAGAGAGAGAGAGAGAGAGAGAGAGAGAGAGAGAGAGAGAGAAGCGGCGAGGGAGGAAAAGGGGTAGAAAGGATATAGAGAAGGTAAAGGACGATACAAAAGAGATTTCTTTTCTTTCCCTTCCTGTTCGCACCATTCATCTATATATCTGTCGAATCATTTACCTATATTCTCTCTACCTCCCTCCTGCCTACTCATTTCTCAACTTTCTTCCTCATCCATCATCCACTCCCCCTTCCCCTCCCCTTCCCCTCCCCTTACCCGTACTTACAACCTCCCCCACCCCCTTACGCAAACTTTTTCTCTTTTTCTTTCTTTTTTTTTTGCTTTGCTCCCCCACCCCCCTCCATCTCACCTTCCCTCCCCCTCCCCCCTCCATCTCCCCCCTTCCCTCTTCCCTCCCCCCCTAACCCCTGATTGATTTTATCGACTCCCTATATATCACTTCTTGAACCCCTTATTGAGAATATCATATTTCAGAGAGATGTGTCCGACCAAGTTGTGCCAAATAACAGCGGTATGATGGATACCAGCTGTGCGATCCAGCTTAGTGACAGATGGTCCGGTTAAGATAGGACAAGGGAGAGGGAAAAGGCGAGAGAGGGGGTGAGAGGAGGTCGAAGGAAGGAGGAGGAGGACGGAAGGAAGAGAGGGAGAGAGAGAGAGAGGTCGAAGGAAGAGGAGAGGGAGGGAGGAGGGAGGACGGAAGGAGAGAGGAGGGAGAGGGAGAGACGAGGGAAAAGGAAGAGAGAGGGAGAGGAGAGAGAAGAAGAGAGGGAGGGAGAGGGAGAGAGATCGAAGGAAGAAGGAATGAGGGAGGGAGAAGGGAGGACGGAAGGAAAGAGGGAGGGAGGGAGAGAGAGATCGGGGGAAGAAGGAAGGAGGGAGGGAGAGAGGACGGGAAGGAGAGAGGAGGATGAGAGATCGAAGGAAGAAGAGAGGGGAGAGAGGACGAAGGAAGAGGGAGAGAGAGAGGAGAAGGAAGGAGGGAGGGGAAGACGGAAAAGAAGAGAGGGAGGGAGATGGAGAGAGATCGGGGGGAGAAGGAGGAGGGAGGGAGAGAGGACGGGAAGGAAGAGAGGGAGGATGAGAGATCGAAGGGAAGAAGGAATGAGGAGGGAGAGGACGGGAAGGAAGAAGGGAGAGAGATCGAGGAAGAAGAAGGAGGGAAGGAGGGGAAGACGGAAAGAAGAGAGGGAGGAGAAGGAGGGAGATCAAAGAGAAGAAGAAAGAGGAAAGACGGAAAAGAAATAGAGAGGAACGGAGAGAGGCAAAGAGAGAGGAGAAGATGATAGAATGACTGAAAAGGAAGTGAGGTGGGAAGGAAAGAGAGAAAGGAGAAGGAGAAAACGAGAGGAAGCTGGAGAGGAAGAAAGAGAGAGAATGAAATACAGCGGAAAGGAGTGGAAGAGAAAGGAAGAGAAAGGAAAAGTCAGGAGAGAGTCGAAATAGAAATAGTGACAGAAGGCAGCAACACAGAAAGAGGGAGACATGGAAAAAAATATACAGATAGATAAAACGTAAAGCAAAACACCAAAGAAGAAAGAAAAAGAAAAAGAAAAAAAAAAGTTACCACACAAAAGACACACATCCACAGCATATAGAACAGAACAAAGAAATATCTTTGCACAAACGTCAGCAGTCAGCAAAGACAAGGAAGGAAGGAAAGAGGGAGAGATGTAGGGGGAGAGAAGAAAGAGACAGAGAGAGGGGAGAGAGAGACTGATAGCACGGTGAGGGAAGTCAAGTCAGCGGAGTGTGTGTCAAGAATTTCAACAACCCGCTCCCAGCCTCACTCATTCTGTGGTGGCAGCTTGGTGATTGGGAGGGAGAGAGAGAGAGAGGGGAGGGAGGAGAAGGAGAGAGAGAGGGAGGGAGGGAGAGAGAGGAGGGAGGAGGGAGGAGAGAGAGAGAGAGAGAGAGAGAGGAGAGAGAGAGAGAGAGGAGAGAGAGGAGAGGAGAAGGAAAGAGAGAGAGAGAGAGGAGGAGGGAGGGAGGGAAGGAAAAAAGAGATAGAGAAAGGCGAGAGGGGGAGGCGGGAGGGAGGGAAGGAAAGAGAGAGAGAGAGAGAGAGAGAGAGAGAGAGAGAGAGGAGAGAGAGAGAGAGAGAGAGAGAGAGAGGAGAGAGAGAGAGAGAGAGAGAGAGAGAGAGAGAGAGAGAGAGAGAGAGGAGGAGTGATGAGGAGGAGGAGGAGAGAGAGAGAGAGGGGGGGATTGGGAAGCTGATGATATGATGATGATGATAGTAATGATAATGAAATAATAATGATAATAATAATAATAATATAATAATAATAATAATAATAATAATAATAATAATAATAATAATAATAATAATAATAATAATAATAATAATAATAATAATAATAATATAATAATAATAATAATAATAATGAAAATAATAATAATGATAATAATAATAACATTATTAATAATAATATAATAATAACAACAATGATAGTAATAACAATGATGATACTAATATAATGATATTGATAATGATCATAACAATAACAATAACAATATCACTAATAGTAGGCAAAAGTAGGAGGAAGAGGGGGAGAAGAAGAAGGAGGAGGAGGAAAAGGAGGAGCAGGAGGCCCCTTCCTTCAAATTCCTTCGTCTGCGTCTCAAGTTTATCCATAAGTTGTTCTCCTTGTGTTTATAGGCCCTTAGGGTAGTCTTGGCACACTCCTTAACAAAACCTCTCAAGATTTTTACACGACGGAGCTCCTTGGGTTCGGGGTTGTGGAGGGGGGAGGGAGGGGAGGGGTGTCAGGGGGGGAGGAGAAGGGAGAGGAGAGC